AATAATTCCGGTTTATGCTCCTACATCTGAGAGTACTGATGAAGAAGTTGAAGAGTTTTACGAACAATTAGATGAAATGGTAATGGGGGATTTTAACTCCAAAGTAGGAAAAAGCGAAGTCAGTGACGTAGTTGGCAAGTAGGGGTTGGGAACAAGAAATGAGCGAGGTGATCGACTAATACAGTTTTGCCAGGAGACAAGCTTAATTATCATTATCACTAATACTTGGTTTAAGTTACCATTAAAAAAATTGTACACTTGGAGGTCACCACAGGACAGGACTGGGTACATCGTTAGAAATCAGATAGACTTCATAACAATTAACAAACGATTCCGTAACGCAATAATATCAGCCAAAACATATCCAGTGTGTAACTAGAAGCGGAAGAAGAAGAACGAATGGATGGCAGATGAAACATTACACGTTATGGACAGAAGGAGGGAAAATAAGAATAATCCCGAACAATATAAAGAACTGGATAGAACTGTCAGTGTCAGCAGAAAGATAAAAGAATCCAAAGAGAAATGGTTACAAGGAAAATGTCAAAAGATAGTCAAAACATACATAAAAAAATCAAGGAGTTTACTTATACTTACAAGAAAAAACAGTTTGGTAGGTTAATAGATGAGAACAACAAACTTATTGTAGATAAAGAACACCAGTTACAGACTTGGGCAAATTACATAAAACATTTGTTTACGGATTATCGTCATATTTCTACGAACACTCTTGATCTGAATGGACCAAAAATATTAAAAAGTGAGGTGATAAAAGCTATAGATCAAGCGAAAGATAGGAAAGCAACAGGATGCGATGAAATATCAGACGAATTTTTAAAAGTTTTTAACGAGCACAACCTGAATGTAGTATTGAAACTGTTTTATCGACTAAAAAATCTATATTGAAATAAAAATGCCCAAACAGCCCACATGAAGAATGGACATATAGTGAGTAAAAACGTAACCATTCCGGGAGGGGTTAGACAGGGCTGTATTCTTTCGCCACTGCTTTTCAACCTGTACACGGAACAAATATTTCTAGAGGCACTTGAAGAGTACAGCGAGGGCATCAAGATTAATGGCGCACCAATAAGTAATTTTCGATATGCAGATGATACTGTTATACTGGCCGATAACATTGAATATTTACAGATGATGCTAAGTAGAGTAAATACAACTGGCAATCGATTTGGTTTGAAGACCAATAGAAAGAAAACTAAATTTATGGTGATTAGTAAAAAGAACATTCAACATATCGACCTAAATATTGAAGTCGAACGTATTGAAAGAGTACACCGATTTAGATATCTGGGATATACAGTAAATGATAAGTGAGACCTAGACGTAGAGATTAAGATCCGAATTGAAATAGCAAGATCCTAATTCATCAAAATGAGAAAGCTCTTAAGCAACCGCAACCTAAGCAGTAACCTCCGATGGCGCGCCACGAGATGCTACGTACTCTCTACGCTACTTTACGGAGTAGAAGGGTGGACGTTAACAGCAGCAACTGTAAAGAAGTTAGCGGCTCTAGAAATATGGCTGTATCGACGCATTCTGAGAATACCTTGGACAGACAGATTGACCAACACAGAGGTATCAAGTCGAATGGGTAAAGAGGTGGAATTGTTAACAACTGTTAAAAGGAGAAAAGCGTCATACCTGGGCCATATGTTTCGTAATGATAAGTACAGTCTGCTACAGCTTATCGTGGAAGGCAAGATTGAAGGTAGAAGATGTTTGGGCAGAAAGAAGAAATCCTGGCTGAGAAACTTGAGAGAATGGTTTCAATACCAGAAGCTGCGAACATAATACATGCGGCACAAAACAGAGAAACCTGTCGTTTGATGGTCGCCAACCTTCGGTAAAAGACGGCACATAAAGAAGAAGATACAAGACTACCAAAACATTTAGTTTCAACTATGCGAATAGGTTGGGGTATCAGATGCAATGAAAGTTGAGGGATGAATACAGAAACGTTTTATGAGTATGTCGTAAACTGTTTTAATAGATGGTTGAACGAAAAAACATTAAGCGACGTGTCGTGTTATTTTTGGATGAAAATGTTAGATGAACTAGATATAACGATATTGACGCGTGAATTTTCGATTGAAAATTACTGTGCTTTTTCGATATTAAATCAATATCGGGTAAAAAAAATAAATTTTATAATTACAGCGTATTTGGTACATACTAAGGTAAGTTTTCACCTTCTTCCTCTTCTTCAAGTTCCACTCCTATCGGAGATTGGAAATCGTTCTGGCAATTATAATTTTATTGGTTACTCGCCTGAATAGTTCAATTGAACTGCATCCAAACCACTCACTTAGTAGTTCGTATTTTTCACCTCTCATGATGTGCCCCAAGTATTCCAATTTCCTGATCATTATGGAATTTAAAACTTCGCATTATTTTCCTAGTTGTTCGAGAACTTGTTCATTTGTTTTGCGATCCATCCACTCTATTAAAAGTTGACCGCGCAATTTCAATGCGACATCTTATTTCTTTTGTCTGATCAGTATCTTCTGTGATCCATGCTCCAAGGTATTTGTACGAAGATATTTGTTCAATTTCTGTATTATCTAGTACTAGCTTAACTTTGATGTTTTCTGCTTTTGTAAATACCATGAACTTGGTTTTCTTCAAATTGATTTTTAGTCCATAATCGTTGCAATATATATTTAGTTGTTCAGCAAGGTGTTGCAGTTCTTCTAGTGTTCCTGCCAGAAGGATGGTGTCGTCAGCATATCTTATGTTATTAAGTGGCTCACCGTTTATTATAAGGCCCTCACTGATCTCGGCAAGCGCTAATTCTGAGATGACTTCACTGTATAAATCTGGATATCCTTGGTCAGTTGGTTTTCAACTTTCACTTTTGCTGTTTGATTCCAATAGAGGTTACAAATGATTCTAATGTCTCTACTGTCTATGTTTTTATTTAATAAAATTTCTTTAAGTCGATTATGCTGCACTCTGTCAAATGCCTTCTCAAAATCAATGAAACAGGCATATACTTCCTGATTAATATCTAAGCATCTCTGCGAAAGAACACTTACTGCAAACAGTGCATCTCGTGTTCCCAGTCCTTTCCTAAATCCCATTTGTGTATTATTTATGCCTTCATCTAATTTCTGATGTATTCTATTGTGAATTACTTTTAAAAACAATTTCAAGACATGATTCATTAAGGATATGGTGCGATGTTTATTGCACTCCTTTGCATTGGATTTTTTGGGAAGCAGTATGAATGTTGATTGGAGCCATTCTTTAAGTATTATACCTGTTCTATATATGGTATTGAATAGATCCAAAAGAAGATCAATAGATTCAGTATTCACAATTTTAAGTAATTCGATAGGAACTTCATCAGGCCCGGGAGATTTACCACCTTTAGCTTGTTTCATTGCATATTAAATTTCTTCTAGTATAATGTCTGGCCTTAAATTCTTTTGGTGCTTCTGTTCTCTCTTTGTCTTCAGATAGTTGTGCTACATATTGTGTCCATCTCTGCACTTTTTGGTTTATATCTGTTATAAGTGCACCACTTTCATCTCTTAGTTGCCTAGTTTGAAGTGTTTTTCTCATTCCTGTTAATTCTCTAATTCTTTTATGCATGTTAAAAAAGTCATATTTTTTCTCAATTTCTTCTAGTTCTTGGCACTGCTCATGTAACATTCTCTCCTTAACTTCTTTTATTCGCTTTTTAATTAATCGATCAGTTTCATTATATTTAATTGGATTTTTTGTTTTGAATGATTTTCTTTCATTCATTAATAGTAGTATTTCTTCAGTCATCCAATCTTTATGTTTTCTATTCTTTGGTTTTAAGTTTTCATTTGCTGTTTTAATTATTGCTACTTTTTTATTTTTTAAATATAAAAGTAGCAAAGTAGCAAATACAAAAGTAGTATTTTGTATATTTTAAAGTTTTTACCAAATTTCGCAAAAAACCAAAAACTTAGTTTTTTGAATTTTCCACAAAAATTTTGAGGTTATGTGAAAAAAGTGTAAATACAAAAGTTGTAGATCTTTTTGTTAGCTACAACTTTGCCATTTAACTTTTTTCCATAGCATTTGTAGTTTCGCCGAAAATCGCGATAAGCCGATTTTTACCCTTAAAAATTCACCCCCTCCCACTTCCCGACCTCGGATGGAGTGGAATTTATTTTTTCTTTCATTTTTAGCATATTCTCTTTCTTTTCCAATACGTTTCATTCCACTATAATTTTTTTTTGGCTTCAAAAATTATCGACCCTGGTCTATTATTTTTAATTAGGCTTTTATTAAACAAGAAAAATACAAGCTGAAATTTTGATCAATATAATTTTCGTCAATATATTAAAAACACAAAATTTTGAAATTAATAAAATAATTTATTATGCTTTAAATAATGGTATTTTTTTAAATTAGCCACTCAAAGACATCAATTTTTTAAACTGAGTATCAATATATTAAGTTTTGCATCTAATTTTTTGACGAAGCAAATAATTATAATATTTCGCCTAGTTTTATTCATAATACACCCTACATATTTAGTTTGTTGAGATCGTATTGTTAAGGAGTCTTTAAAACATAAAAATATACAGGGTATTTTATTAAAAATAAAGACGATGAACTTTGCTAGACTTGCGTGAATCACCCTGTATATAAACCGCACATTTGAATTTAAAAGTTGACGGGTCCAGCGTTTTTTTTTAATTTTCTAAAACAAGGACACAGGCAAGTTTATTCCATAAGTGGTTTCCATACAGTATAATTTCAAAATTTGAACCCTGTATGATTTAGTTAGTTGAGATCAGGTTGTTAAGGAACTTTTAAAAATATAAAAATATACAGCGTGTTTCATTAAAATTAAAGATTATGGGCTTTCCAAGACTAGCGCAAATCATCCTGTACATTTAAATTTTTTTATAATTTTGTAAAATAAGACACAATTTAATTCATAAGTGGTTTCCACCCTGTATATTAAATATGTGATAACATTTTATTCAAGTACTTACCCAATCTCTATAAAGTTGAATAGAACTTCGTTTTAATAATATAAAAAACCTTTTCCATTCTGAAGGCGATTTAGAGGGAGTCACGCTTTCATTGGAATATATTATATCCTTACTATCTACAGCTGGAGTATCACTAAGTTTAACTGAAAAAGATATAGAAATTACACTGTAAGTGGTAAAATAATCAAAATTTAATGCATTTGTTTAGTTTTGGTGTAGTATATAAAATGTTCTGTGTGCAACAAATTATTAAATAACTACAAAACTTTAACATGGATATAAAAGCAACACAAGTGAGATGGACAGGAACTGGAAACATGGAAATGTAAAATGCAGTAGTCTTTTGGTCGGGTAGTATGAACAGACATGAATACAAATGTGGCTTTATTATTACAAAAATAGTAAAGCAGTAATAGATTCAATCTCGTAAATGAAAGAATACGATATAGTAAATTCAAAGGTAAATGGTTCAATCGCACGATATTCTCAATATATGCCCCAACAAAAGATGCCGAAGAACATAGTAGGGATAGTAAAGGAATATTACACCAACAATATACAGCGGCTCCAAAACATGATATAAAAATGGCGATAAAGGACTGCAATACTTACCTAGTCAAAGAACACTATTTAAGAGAGATATTGGGATAAAATAGCCTACACGATATATCAAATAATAATGGACACCGGCTAACACAATTTGCAGTACCTAATAATACAGTTATTAAATCCATTTAACTTTACAGAACGAGCATTTACAAGGAAAGTTGAGAACAAGTATATCAGCACAAAAGACAAAGCATCCAGAACAAAGAGAAACATGAGATATATAAGTCTTTCAAACACAAAATAAAGCAATGGAATATCAAGTAGCCATAAGAAACAAATTTGAATTGCTAGGAAAGGTGGAGGATAACTTAGAGATATAGCAAGCACGGGAACAAATGCCAACTGTTATAGACTAAGCAGCGGAGGAAACCATTAGAAAAGGGAGGAATCACCCAAAACGAAAATGGTTTGACATATATGCGCGGAAATTCTGGAAATAAAAACTCACAGAAAACTGATAATGTTACCAAATGCTATAGATGAAAACAGACCATATTTTCACAGAACAAGAGCACATTCAAAATAACTACTCAAAACTAAAAAGGAGAGCTACCTAGAACTTCCTGTTGAAGAAGAATGTTACAAATTCCATGGACGACCATTGGACAAGTAATTCAATTCTAAATGAGCTAAAAGTCAGCAAAAGGTTATCCAGCAAAGTACATCTCCAAAAATGGACATGTTATGAGAGCAGACACAGAAAACGTGGAAAACCATGGAGAAAATCCAAGGAAAAGTTGAAGGCCGAAGATCACGAGGAAGATCTCCAACAAGATGGATACATTAAATTACAGAAATATGCAAATTTACTGAATATTAAAGGGGAGACGGGAATGAAAATATTATATTCTATTCGCAGATGTGGAAATTTCAACCTAATAGCTTGTGCTGAAACACCCACGATAGTTCAAATATTTACGATACTACGGATGCTACGTTTTCAGAATATGCCTCTTACTGGCAGAGTAATGGAAAGTTTATGAACAATTGACATCTATACTAAATTGGTTAAGAAATTATTAGGTTCTTTAAAGACTACTGCCTCTCCTGGAACTGAAAATATTTCACCATTATTAGATCATAATTGTGCAGATACACACATTAAAATAATCTAGGGACACCTATATTAATAGCTTTAAATCAATGTTAGCTGTAAATATAAAAATAAATTTATGTTTTTAATCTATTTTGTTGTTTTGTCGATTATTGTATCCATCACCAACTTGGACTATGCGTTTTTTGCATGGACGTATAAACATAGATGGACACAGCAATAAGATACCTTTAACACACAATGTTTTGAAGCTTCGATAGAATGTGATGCTTCCGCAATGAGTATAAGTGTGCTTGAATTTTTACTCGCGGGTAATTATTCAGATTTTAAAAATTGAAAGTAGTAATAATGTATAAAAACACGTTCAAAGAATTAAAAAAAAACGAGAATTTAACTATTAACAAATCACGTCTTTATAGAAAAATTAAAATACAATTTTATTATATCTTATTGAATACATTAATGAACATGAATAAACCCAATGGTACGCCTATTAAAATGTAAACAAACACGCTTTTTCATTTCCTCATCTTAAATAATGTAAATTGTATGTACTTACAAATGAAATGAGAGACCGGGATGTAAATATTTCGTTTATTTTATTTCACTTTTCACAAATATCACTCAAAATACAGCCAAAATATCTAAAAACAATTTTTCCTTATTTCCGCAATCGTTGTAAACAAACATGGAATAGCATTTGAAGTTTGACGTAGAACCGTAAAACAGAGAAATGTAAACAACCGTTGCCATTTATAAATAGTTTTCAGTGCTTCTAAATATAAAATAATTGATTGATATCTATTATACGCTATTATTAAATGATAATGCACACTATGTGCACACTTGATATTTTGATTACAATTAGATATATTAATATAACCAATAAATTATTATTTTGGTTTGATAGCACCTGTAGAGTATAAAATACGGAGTAATATTTTCAGCGACTCGCGAATAAGAAATTTTAATAAAAAAACGTGACAACGGTTGGAGGTGCTGAGAATGTGACATATTCAAATAATTTTGACTTCACAATTTTATGTAAATAACTGAGTCCATCTGTGTTTATACGTCCATGGTTTTTGGTCTATAAGATAAAAGTAATATTTCTTTATTGGTACTTGATTTTCGATATCTATGTGGATTTTAATTTTAATTATATTGTAAAGTTTAGTACGTACAAATATTTAGTACTCAGGCAAGGAAACTCCTTATTCTGGTTGCTGTTCAATTTTAAATTGGAACATGCAGTAAGTAAAATATTGTCGAAGCTGACAGAAGGTTTTACTAATCAACGTTCAAAACTGTTGTCGATCTTTGCTGATGCCATAATATACAGTGGCTTATTCCACAAGAGACGTGCGAGAGGTGTTTGTACAACTCGAGGAGGAAGCAGGTAATCTGGGTCTCCGAATAAATGAAAAAAATATGAAATACAAAGTAGTAGCCAAAAATCTAAGGCCTAAAATTACTAGTATAAGTAATGATATTAAACTTTGAAGTAGTAAAGGAGTTTAAGTATTTGGGGGCGATAATCACAGATAAAACCCAAGTAAAAAAAGATCTCAGCAAGAATAGCTGCTTGGAATAGAGCATTATACTCTCTTTTAACATTATTGAGATCTACTTGTAATAAAAAGACAATCTAAACTAACATTTTAAAAGTCAAGTATTTGCCCAGTTGTTACTTATGGCAGTAAAATCTGGCCCCACAGCAACGGGAAATAAATAAGCTGTTGGTATTTGAAAAAAGTTCTCAGAATAATGTTTGGCCTTCAAAGAGATGAAATAACAGAACATTAGAGAATACGTCACAATGCTGAATTGGTCACTTTGTACCGTATTCATCAAAAATATTCATACATATAAAAGCTAACTGGATAAGATAGACAGGTCACGTGGCAAGATCAGAAGATAGAAGAGTATTAAAAACAGTATATTTTTGACAGGCTTATTTGTATAACATTAGTACGACATTCCAGGAAAAGATGATAGGATGATATCGAAGCATATTTTGGAACAACGGAAATGAAAGCACAAGATCGTAAATGATGAAGTGTGATAATGGATACAACTAAAACTCACCCCGAGATGTAAGGCCAGACAAGAGAAGAAAAAAAGATATCAGCACAATCCATACACTATGTATCATCATTTGTGACCAAAGGAATAGTGTTTGTAAATTTATGTACATGGGTTTACCTATAGGTCGAATAAACAACAGAACAATAGCTTTTTGGTCGCATTTTATATTGACTGACTAAATTTTAAAACCGCTTAAAACATTTTGTTGCTTTCACAGATACCTGATGAACAAACAGGTTTTAAGCTTGTAAAAGGAAAAAGACGGCAACTTTTAAATGTCCGACAAACAATAGAAAAAATGTATACATTTAATGTTAAAACCTATTTATGCATCATAGATTACATTAAGCCCTAAGACTTTCGATTGCGTGAAGTGGTTGGTACTGGAAAATATGGGGGTTCCCAAAAATCTAATTTTTGTACTTAAAAACCTATATAAAAGGTGTTGTACATATTATCCACAGAGCATCGCACTAACCAACGTCTCTCAAACGCTATGTGAATCAAGTCAGAAAAATTATTAGCCATGGTGTACATAAATTTTCCTTAGCAACCCAAGGCAGATAATAATGAAGACCCACGATTGCTTCACGATATCACCATACACTTTGGAAAGTTAACAGGCAAAAGGAGAATAAATACGTATCAATGCGTGATACGTTAAGCCCGAATAATGGTAGACTTAACTTAATAACTATAAGAAATACTTACTTGTAGGTACGTTTTGCCACTTTTTGTCCTGTGCTGCTTCTGCTAATTCATCAATATGATCACCATATTCCCCACTAACTACTTCCATAACTGAAAATATTAAATAATATGTATATCATTAAGCTAGAAATTAAAACTAAATTTAATAATAGTAGGTATATAATGATACATGACACAATATGGACTGCATTATATTCTTGGTCGATTTCGAAGAAGCTTTTGATTACATCGAAAAAGAAAGTCAGAGAAAATGAAAAACATATTAACAAAAATTATATTAGAAGGAGCAGGAAATCTGACCAAAGAAATCAACAAAAACACAATCGAAATGTAAATGGGAGCTCACTGTAAACTATTCTCTTTAACATTGCGGTAGAAGGAACAGTCAAGATGAGCGATATCAAAGTAATGATGACCCAGTTTTCAATACAAATATAAACACATATAGACGATATATTACTTACGGCAAGGGATAAAAAAACTTTGGAAAGAGGCTTAATAGAACTTACAACGGTAGCGATGAAAAGAGTCCTAGTTATTATTAAGGAAAAAAAGA